GACGGGGACGAAGCTGTGCAAGGGGTCCGGAAACTGGTTTGTATATGAACTAATAATAATGCAGTACGATTCGAGCCCGAAGTTTTAGCGGCCAAATCGAGCCCGGAATTGATTGGTTGACACGGACGTCGTGGTCATGTGACTCCTTTCTTCTACGGCCGAAGCGATTGCGTGCAACAAGGTAGATTAAAAAGTCAATGTGATTAACCTATCAAATTGCCGGCATGGCAGGGAGATCGTGTACAAAGTTTATTGGGTAGTATGCAGTATTTACCGGTCGATTAGCGTGCATTGCTCCCATTGAGCCTGCCTAACAGTGTTCCTTTTTTGTTGCTCCCCTATTTCCACCTGTTGTCAATTTTTGGTGCAGCATGAGTAAGCGTATGTCAGATCGCACATATCGACATCATCTACGCACACGTTTCAATGAAAACCAACGAAAAAAGTGGGAGAAAGGCACCCGTTGGACACGCATTCGGCGGATAATTCGTATTCAGAGACCGCTTCTTCGTATTTTTATGACGATAAGATTGCTTTTGAACCCTGTGGTAAGTTCTTTAGCTAACAAAACACTGGGAGAAATAGAACGTCTCGACGTCAAAGAAGATGGCACAGTCGGCAGAGCGCCCATGGGAGAGAGAAGAGCAAACGTCAAATACGCTGGATCATGCAATCAATCCAGCAAATAAGGACAAAAATGCTGATGTTCAGATGTAAATGACAGTACTGTCTCAAGCTATTGAACGCTTGAGCACTGTCGAAAGCCAAAAACCAATCGCCGGATGAGAGTCACCGCCAGAAATTTGCTAGCAGCACCAAATTCAAAAGAGCTGTGTATTCTTTCTATTTCATGCAATAATGCCTTGTAGCCCTACTCAGTCTTGCCTATTGACATTTATTGGTCGATTAAACAAACGTTGGGGTGAGGTACGTCCACGTAAATGCTACCCTGCTACTTTTGCACTCGATTCGCACTCATATTCGAGGACAAAGTTGTCCTCCATACGCGCCCGAATTGCTATTAGGGAAGTAGTTCCTGTGATAGGCTCTACAAAATCTGCGAATTTTAAAAAGGTTAAAGGTACTGCTTTCTTAAATTGTAATTTGGGAAGACACTTCAATAATAACCTTTAAAAACATCCAGTCCTCTATTACATCTACGTTGGTGCAAAAATCTTTTTAATATTATCGGGAGAGGCTGATCGCGATTAAACAAAAGACAGCTGCATAGGAAACGATGGTTATTACAATGTAAGGGATATTATACAAAAGGAAAGGTGGTCACTATAAAAATGATCTTGATCAAAATAGAAAGCTACCACAGATAAATGATTATTACGAAAAGAAGAAAGTAGGTTTACAAAAGACGTCAAAGGCTCAAAGGAATTTTTCCTACGCATCCCTCAATATACTGATACTGATACATGTAGCATGTTTCCCAAGATCGGTCCGGTAAAAGCCATGCTATGAGGAGCTGAGAATTTTATTGATTATGGAAAAATCTGTAAATTTTCCGTTAACTGGTTTATTAAACGGTTAAGCCAGAGAGGGCATTTTATGAACACCGCGATAATTATGAATATCCGAGCGGGAACCAGATTTAAGTAGTCCAGATATCCAGTAGTCCGAGAAAAAACCATTCTCAAGAAATGCTGAAAATAATTTACTCGGAAAAGGTGGAAACTCTCTAAATTGTTTAATAAGTGGTTTGGGAATGTTATCAGTTCCAACTGAATGTGAATTTTTAGGACGACTTATTTCTTTTTGAATGCTAGCGGGTGGGAAATCAATGGTAGTGAGATGTGAATCACACAGCAGAGGGATTGCAGGA